TAAACTACATAATGTCAAAAAAAAACAGCATAATGTCAAAAAAAGTCGGCATAATATCACTTTTCCAGATACATACGTGATACCCGTGCCGGTAGTACCGTGTTTGGTGAATTAACTACTCATAGGTGGCAGTGTCACCTTTTCGCGTACTACATGACTGAGTTTTTTAATACAGATCTCCGCTTGTTTGCTTTCCGTTGTTCGTCCCCCATGACTAGACTCATATCATACTGATGATCGCGAAAAAGCATAAAACAAGGAACAACGTTGATGAAATGGACATGTTTACTTTCAGTCTCTGCAACAATGACAAACCACAGCTAGCGCTGTTTGGTGCTCGTTAGCAACTCATCAGTGCGGTATAGGTCTAGTCTTGGAGACAGGCGAACGGGAAGCAAACATAGTGGACATGGTCTTTTGAAAAGTTCGACATTGTCCGTAAGTGAGTGGAGATGTTCACCTACTTGCGCACAACGTTGTTTACGGTTGGTTATGGTGACATAGACGAAAAGCAAACTGCCTACGTTAATCCGGAGAAAAGAACCTTAGTTGGATTTCCAAATCCAGCATACGCATCCAAAATCTTTGGGCTGTCTGGCGGGCATTTCGAACTGATGAGTCGCGTTGTATTATTATACAGGGTGGCCCATCCATATGTGGACGGAATATTACTCATAAAATGGGAAAATCTATTTATGCACATTTCTAAAATATTGGCAATCATCAGTATGTCCCAATTTTGACCTACATATCAATGTTGTGATTGATTCATAATATGGGGTTTTGGTATTTAGCTACTGAGATGTAAGGTGTTTTGTCCAGAAAAACCTTCCACTTCGGCAACCCCTTAATACGACATTTTGAAATTTGGAGTCCTGAATTAAAAAAACTTTCACACCTCAGCTTTTATCTTTATCATTTTGCTCATTCAGGGTGGTCAAAAACGCGAATTGTACTTTTTCTGAAAAATTTCAAATACATCACACTGTATATTTGTGCAAGTTTGGATTCAATTTTTTATAAGCTCTTTTTTGATGCTGCACACTTAAGGGTTTTTACGGCTATTTTTTCGGTTATTAAATCTTTTATGGAACGGCTTAATTCCCTAAAATATCGCATCATCCTTGGAAACAAATAAACTGTTGAACAAAAATACAGATGTTTCAACAAATCAATAAACTGTGGTTAATACTTTTTTTAGATGTAGGTTTAACGCCTTATATACAGGGTGTTTCAGTTTATTGTTGCATAACTTTGAGTGGATAGAACTTTTAAAATTAATGCATAAAGTCTATATAAACATGGGTCAAAAAATGCGTGGCTTCCGAAATACAGGGTGTTTTTATATTTACTTTCTAAAATAGTTTTTTTTTAAATATTTCGAACAATATTTGATGTATAACAGTGAACATTGGTATACAAGAGTTTTTTGGTACGACAAAACGGACCATGGGGATAGTTTTACTGTAGCCGCTAGAGGGCGCTCTCTACTGTACCTGTAGTGTATTAAAATGATCGAAAAATTTTTTTTGGGCAATTTTTTGCTTTTTGAATAGAAAAACTGATTCTTCGCACTTTTCAACATAAAAAAGCTCTCTTGTTAATTTTCGTTATAGTTAGCCGTTTTTGAGATATTTCGATTTTTAAGGTTCGATGCATTTTTAATTATTTATGAGAAAATAACATTAAAAAGTCAGTATCTCGATAATTTTTAGAAGTAGGCTGTGCCTGCAAATATTTTTTTGAAATTGAAAGCAGAATAAGGTTAAACGTCAATTAGTTGACAGTTAGTTTTGTTGTCTGTTGAAACCTGAAACGTTTTTTTGCAATTGTGAATGCACGAAACTTAGTTTCTTTTACCTGTTTTTTTGTAAGTTTTCTAAAAATGCCATTTTTATTCTCCAATCAAGAGTTAGCGGATATTCATTTTGTGTATGGCTTTGTAAATGGAAACGCAGCAGAAGCAGCCAGAGAATACGCACGAAGATTTCCAAACAGACGACATCCAACTCGCTCAGTATTTGTAGGAGTACATCGCCAAATAATTGAAAATGGTTTTGGAAATCTCCAAAGGGATCAAAACATAAATGTTGGTCGGCGCAGATTTACCCGTATGATTCTGCGTGAGTTTGATAGAGATCCGACCACAAGTGTTAGGAGCGTTTCTGGTGCCTTGGGAATTTCAGCAAGTCATGTTCACCGTGATCTTAGAAATGACCATAGACTTCCTTACCATTTGCAACCTGTGCAAGGACTACAGCCAGGGGACGGAGAACGAAGAACCACATTTTGTCAGTGGATTCTTGATAGAACTGATAATAATAGGGAGTTTTTAAGTAAGGTTTTATGGACCGATGAGTCATGCTTCACTAGACGTGGAGTGGTAAATTTTCATAATCAACATATTTGGTCGCATGAAAATCCGCATGCAGTTCGGGAAAGCAATTTTCAGCATGAATTAAGTGTGAACGTGTGGATTGGTATCTACTGTAATCGACTATTTGGACCCTACCTTTTGCCTGCAAGGTTAAATGCTGCGACCTTCTTGGAATTTTTAAAGGCTGAACATGCAAATATGTGGGATGATGTTAGATTTAAGAAGATTGGCCTGGTTCCAGCTTGATGGTTGTCCAGCTCATTATTCGAAAATAGTTAGAAACTGGCTGGACGAAAATTATCCAGAAAGATGGATCGGCCGTGGAGGACCAGTCGCCTGGCCTCCACGATCCCCTGACCTAAATCCATTAGATTTCTTTGTGTGGGGATTTCTAAAAGAAAAAATGTATCAGACTCCCGTAACCACAAGAGATATGCTAATAGACAGAATTAGGAATGCATGTGATGAAATAAGGCCTTATCTGAATAATGCTATACCACGTTCGATCATTCATAGATGTGAAATGTGTATTGAACAATTGGGTTTACATTTCGAGCAACTACTTTAGATTTTGTATGTTTATCCTAACTATCCAATAGCATTTTAGTTGTAAATAATTAATTTAATTTGTTAAAAATAATATTGGAAAATTAAACAAATTAATATTCTGTTTTTTTTGTGTTTATTTGGAGTTAGGAATTATTGCTGTGTTTAATAACACAATCTAAACGATCATCTTAATTACTTGTAATGCCCAAATCGAAAATGTAAAAAAATATTATTTTCCCATAAATAATTAAAAATGCATCAAACCTTAAAAATCGAAATATCTCAAAAACGGCTAACTATAACGAAAACTCACAGGAGAGCTTTTTTATGTTGAAAAGTGCGAAGAATCAGTTTTTTTATTCAAAAAGCAAACAATTGCACTAAGAAAAATTTGTCGGTCATTTTAATACACTACAGGTACAGTAGAGAGCGCGCTCTAGTGGCTACAGTAAAACGATGCCCATGGTTCGTTTTGTCGTACCAAAAAACCCTTGTATACCAATTTTCACTGTTATACATCAAATATTGTTCGAAATATTTAAAAAAAACTATTTTAGAAAGTAAATTTAAACAGCCTGTATTTCGGAAGCATTTTTCGGCCCATGTTTAGATAGACTTTATGCATTAATTTTGAAAGTTCTATTGAATCTTAAAGTTATGCAACAATAAACTGAAACACCCTGTATTTGAATAACTCTTTCTGTAAATATTCAATGTCATATAGGTAAAAATGTTCTAGCAGGCTTTCTGTGGGGTTATGTATGTTTATTGTAAACATTATTATTTCCTTTTGCAACCAACCTATGACTCTTCTTAGTGTTAATGCTAAAATTACTACTTCCTACGCCTCTGTGCCCGTACGTTGCAGCCTCCTGTTTTCGACTGCAGAAGAGCAAACACTGTATTTCCTCCTCGACCGTTCAATTATGCAAACTATGCCACGTATATGCGAGCTCTGCCGGTCAAATAAATTGTCCAGGTCAAAGTTTGCTCTATACGTTCAACGTGTGGCCATTTCCAATGACATTATAATATCGCCTAGATGGCTGATCTGATAATTCTGGATACAGAAAAGTTTTGGTATACTCCATAAGAAGAAGAGATTACACGGAGCTTTATATTCCGTCAATAGAAAGATAAGTTAAACTGAAAGCAAAAAGCAGACAATTTCAGCTTTTTTTCGTATACAGTAAAAAATATCAAGTAGGAATCTTGTTTTCGAACAAAATATTATTCGCCTAAAAATTATTCTGATTCTGGGAGGCAGGCAAATTCGTAACAAACTGGAATGAAAAAAATCCTACCCCCTCTTTAATCTTGAGCTTTGAGAAAGCTATGACCTATGATATCATCATAGCATTCTTTGAGAGGCTATCACAACCTACAAGCAATTTTTACTTCCTACACGAATGAACAACAAATTTCAAGACAATCATCACACCTCATTTCTCTAAATTATGATCTATGCAGGTCCTTTAAAAAAATTGATATCATACGTGATTTCATATTTGACGTTTCAGAGGCTCTTGATCATTTCCAGAAAAAAGTAGTGGTTAAAAATTGATGATTGGGGATTGTGAGGGATGGGAAGGGAATATGTAAATTTTTTGCTAAGTATATTTATACGCTTTCAGCCCTGGTGATTCTATGCACCTACCTTAGATTTCGCCGTGCATTTGCCTTTGACATGTAGGACAGAAATATTTTAAATACATGCATACTATATGACGCATCTAACCTTGATATACTTATTTCGAGGTTTGATAGATCTGAATCGTGTTTTTGCCGATGAAGATTCGTGGTTGAGGAGTGGCGAGTCGCAAGGTTAGTCATAGCAATGTTGCCAAATGGTCGTTCCTGTGAAGAGAAATTTCCAGATCGCAACGAATCGAATAGGTAGCTACTATGGGCTATAGTGTGCGCCTGATTGACTGACTTGATCTATTTAATTTTTTTATTATAGATATTCGTAGCTAACTTTTTTCTCAGAGGAGCTAACATTTTTGATACAATAATTGAATGATTTTTGTCGGATTGCTTCCTATGAAATATTAAACGGATATTTTTGTTTCAGGACCTGACAGTTACAGATGACACTGTGTTGGAGGAACACAATGAAGATCCTGCACTGGTACAAATGCGACTCATCGGAGATGGAGGTAGGTCTAAGTGGGTTGGTTGGACTATTTGGACTATTTTTAGATGGAAGCGCACGTTAAAGTTCGGTTATTGCATGAGACATTTGCTGATCGTGTGCTCCCTTGTTTTGGTAATAAGAACTGGCCTCCTCGATCATACGACTCAATATCATTAGATTATTTTTATAGGGTTATTTGAGGTCAAACGTCGAAACCCACAAACACTAGTGCATTGAAGAGATAAATTATTCCCTACCTCAACAAAATTCTGCCGTAGAATGGTCACAGAAGATTTCTACAAGAAAGTGCCATGTACAAGCAATGTGCTATTTATTCTATACACGTGTTTCCAAAATAAAAACGCATAGGTGGACAGGCAGCAAGTATTAATATTATTCATAACTCACACTGAGGAATATTGAAGTGAATATTTTAAATAGTTATTTATGTTCATATCATCTATAATCGCCAAGCCATGTTCTTTCCTGAATTATGAAAATTACATTCAAATATATGCAGTTATGAGAAGTCAGCGTCTGTTTCTCTTACAAACGAGAATAGATTATGCTAATTTCGAAACAGATTTTTTTTAAAGTGACAGAAATACACGCTGCGAAGGTGAAAACATTCATTAATAATAAGTCACTGACAGCTCCGGTAAATACACGTAAATAAAAGTAGGGCAGGACAGAGATATGACGCATGTGATAATTTCTCGGGTATACATAATTGCTGGTGTCTTCAGTTTCAATAAGTTACCTATCATGAAAGTCGTATAAAATGGTATTGAGAAGATAATAAATAATAGTTTAAAAAAAAGTAGTACAGTACTAGATGGTCAATCATAATTAATGACCTCAAAATATAACTATAATAAAATTTAAGTTATTAACTGAATAATTCAATTAAGAGTAAAAGGAGTGGGGTGCTTGATGTATTTAGGGTGGATTTCACCAAGGTTGAAAAATTGCCAGTTCGCTATTCTCCACTTATAGGGTAACAGTCCGTCAAATACAGCGAATGAGCTTAAACATCCAATCAACAAATTTCAGCAACCAATAATAGCTATGAAATGTTGAAAACAAAATATTGTCAAAGTATGAGATCACAGCTTGTCCTTGAAACGGCACCAGCTTATTGAATAAGAAATTACATATAATTCAGTCAAAATTTAAAGAAATGTTTGATTTTTGAATAAAATTCATGTTTAACATCACCTCCCGTTTTTTTCCCTATAGATAGCAATTAAACACCTACTTGATGACAGACTCTACCAAAAATTTCATAGATATTTCTCGCTTCCAAACATTCATTCATTTACTTGCCGTTCATCAGAACCATTATGGCACCTTAGACTGATATTCCCACAAAACCATTAAGGTTTTTTGATATCCACACATCCATAAAGTTGAATATTTTTCGTTGTTTAGGAACTGAACAAACATCCACACTATATTTACAGCGATTAAGAAATACACAAATATATGTCATAAAAAACTATAAATTTGCAATATTTATCTTGTTTCACTGACTACACATTCTAGATTATATTTATATTAGACATTATTTCCATGACGCCGCAAAATAGCTCCGTCGGTACCTCAGGTTATACATCTTGACAGTAGGGATGTTCGATACGATAACATACCGGATATTTTGGATAGATATTTTTATATGCGACACTTGGGTGTATCGATACATTTCACGAGTATCGTCATCTTTCGATCCGGAATGTGTCAGAAAGAGTCACTAACTTCAGATTATTTTTCTTTGATTCCTTCCGCTGGATATCGATAATTTTATTCCAATATCTTAGAGTATCGATACTTCCTAAAATAATAAGAATAGATACATATCGATACTTCTCGTGGATCTAAACATCCCTAATCTTGACAGCTTGTCGTTCTTGTCAACTGGGCCGCAGGGTGCGGTGTTGCCTTTACTATCTTCACATTTTTCTAAAATCTTATGAGTAGTTAAACAACATCGGTTCTAACTCACTCTGCCAACCTGCCTCAGCCGCCCCACCCACCCCAGACCACCTCAGCCCACCCCTCCCAAACAGGTTAGAAAGGCCCAAAGACCACGTGACCCACCCCCATGACGTCACGTATGCCATAAAGGCCTAATACCATGTGACCCGCAGAAATGGCGAAAGTAGTGAGTGAGAAAAGTGTGTGTAATCGTGATATATAATTTGTGCATGAGAGAGAGTAGTCTCTCTCGCCTATAGCCTATCTTTGGTTGGTAAGAAATTTGTACGGATACATATGCACGAGAGGAGCCTCGCCTAGCCTAGCCTAGCCTAGCCTGGCCTAATTGGGACCGATGACGATGACGACGACGACGACGACGACCATCCTTCATGTCATGAGATAAAATAGTCATATGTGCGAGGGAAGAAATGAAACGACAGCGGTAGTGTGATATTGTATTTGAGTTGAAAAAAAAATAGTATGAATCTTAACGTATTCAATCATATAGATAGCAATGTATATCTGAAGTGTTGAAATGTTTGAATGTATGTTTAAAACTGTTGGTAGAGTATGTTTTTCTTTGGAAAATAACGTATCCCTGTCGTAGCAACTGCCTTATATTGTATTGTCCACAGTACATAATTGTGCCTTTTCGCTTCATTGTGACTGGATAACAGTTCAGATCTTGTCCAATTACATATCCAATTGTTTGATTGTTGTGAGTTTTAATTTCTGTGCCTATGGATAATTCTCTTCCTGAGTAATAGAATGCTGGATACGACTTTAATTCCGTGATTCCATAATTATGTAATTCATACAGATAGAAAACTCCGTCTTCAATGTTGAATATCTGATCTGCAACTACAACTGGTTCATTTTGATAACACGTTGTTAGGGTAAAAAAAGGAATCACTAAAACAGCAACTAAATCCAGACAGTTCATCGCGGTGTTCTTCCTTAGAATGATACCTTCCTCTGATTTTTTCTTTTTTATACTATACGGAAAGGGGAGGGTGATGAATGTTATTATTCTCCATTTAACAGCCAAATTGTCAACCGGTCACAAACCGAACAATATTGCATTTTTCTTTGTCGTATGTTGGTGTATTGAGGAGTCACTTGTATGGTGAACAAAGTATTTTTCCAGCATGAAACGCAAATATATAAAGGCATTACTTATTGGATGGACACCACTAATCACTAGCAGCGTATCAATCAACAACAACAGCATTAAGCAACGGGAGTATTATAACTAGTAACGTCCACGATTAAACTCACCATTCCAGTTGCTACTACTCATGTGCTATGAAGTACTATGGTGGTGGTGAAGGCTTACTCAATACAGCTAAAAATAATTTACCTGTAGAATTACACATCCCAACGTACAATTACTGTGGTCCTGGCACTAAGCTTGATGAAAGGTTAGCCAGAAATGACCCAGGTGTGAACGGATTGGATGAAGCTTGTAAACAACACGATATATTTTACTCAAAAGAAAAAGGTCTGAGTAATCGTCACTTGGCTGATAAGGTGCTAGCAAAACAGGCAATGAATATGTTTCGTGCAAGTGATTCGTCTTGGAAAGAGAAGGCTGCCGCATTAGCTGTAGCAGGTGCCATGAAAGCTAAAGTAAAACTTGGAATGGGTTTAGAAGAAACCTATGAAAGGCACAAAAAACGTAATATAAACAATTGTTTGAAGAAATTACATAAATTAGCGAAAGAATTACAGGGGTCTCAAAAACTTCAACAACAACAATCTCAATTCATGTTCAGTCTTCTTGTGCAGCGTTTGCATTCGACAGTCCACAAAAAAAAATGATCATTATTGACGTTCAAGGGTTTACTTGTGGCTCCAACTTTATTTGCAAAGAAATTGCTATCATTAATACAGCAACGGGATATTGGCAACAAAAATTAGTTAATCTACCCGTAGAATTTACAATGCTCAACAAGAGCACACAGTCACAGATCAACTGGACTGTGGACAATTTACATGGAATTCCTTGGGATTTGTCTCCTTCTGAAGAGTCATGTCTTCATTATGAACAGTCGGCATCGTTCATCAAAGAACATGTTCAAGATCAACCAATATTTGTCAAGGGACGCCCGAAGAAACAGTGGTTGGAAATATTCATCACTAATCCCATCACCGATCTACATGAAATAGGATGCCCAAATCTTGGCAAGCTGAAGGAAATGTTCCAGTACAAACATTGTTATAAACATGTGTATAATAATATGCGTTGTGCTTTAGAAAATGTTCATTTGTTATGTAATTGGAATGTTATATCTAATGCTGTAACATTGCAAACATTGTAATGCATAGAAAATATCACACTACCGCTGTCGTTTCATTTCTTCCCTCGCACATATGACTATTTTATCTCATGACATGAAGGATGGTCGTCGTCGTCGTCATCGTAATCGGTCGCAATTAGGCCAGGCTAGGCTAGGCTAGGCTAGGCGAGGCTCCTCTCATGCATATGTATCCGTACAAATTTCTTACCAACCAAAGATAGGCTATAGGCGAGAGAGACTACTCTCTCTCATGCACAAATTATATATCACGATTACACACACTTTTCTCACTCACTACTTTCTTTCATTTCTGCGGGTCACATGGTATTAGGCCTTTATGGCATACGTGACGTCATGGGGGTGGGTCACGTGGTCTTTGGGCCTTTATGACCTGTTTGGGAGGGGTGGGCTGGGGTGGTCTGGAGTGGGTGGGGTGGCTGAGGCAGGTTGGCAGAGTGAGTTAGAACCGATGTTGTTTAACTACTCTTATGACAAATAAAAGCTTCAAATGAAATATTGACGAATATGAACGGATATGCATAGAATTTAGAGTACATATATACATTCATATTGCAAATTTCAGATTGTCTATGCATGGACGTGAACCGGGTTTTTCGGTATTTATACCGAAAAGAGAATATTTACTGATAACATCATACTCCACGATTTTTCAAAATAATTTAAATATTTCTATTCTTGCCGAAAAAGAGCTGAAACCAAAAATAAAGCTAAAAGGTAATTTTATGTAGTCTTCATAGTTTTATGCCCCATATCAATCATACATATGCATACACACTCAGGAAGTCGGGCACATGAGAGGCGTAGATTTGATTACGAACATCCTCATCCCTTACTCCGCTTGCCCTGAATTGATTTTTGTGCATACAAAAGGTACAGACTGGTAGATTACCGTCATTACCTCATTACCAGACAAGCAATAAAGAAACCGAAACCTATATGTTTCCAAAATAAATATTTAATTAAAACGAGAGGTGATTTCAGGGGTAAAAGAAAAATATTCACAATCCCATAAGCAAGAATCGAAAAAGGAGTTTCCAGAATGGTTGCAAAGTACTTTAAAGAGCGACCAGTATGCACATTGTAGAAGTTCTAATATAGAACTATGCCCTCAAAAAACAAGTGTGCGCGCCCAATACAATAACAAACGTTTACACTATTTACCGATTCCGTTTTTTTGCCGGTTCGGCAACACTGCAGATGTGCATGATTGATTG